GAGAGACTTGTACACAAGCAGAGCTGTTTTAAAGTCTATTCTCTGAGCCACAGGAAGCCAGTGCAGAGACCTGAGGACTGGACTAATGTGGTCGTACTTCCTGGTTCTAGTCAGGACTCGAGCTGCTGCATTTTGAATGTACTGCAGCTGTTTTACAGCCTGTTTGGACAGACCTGTGAGCAGGCCATTGCAGTAGTCTAACCTACTGGAGACAAATGCATGGATAAGAATCTCCAAGTCTGCTTAGGAGTCCACTTTCATGCCTTATATCTGTTATTAAAATATATATAATTTTTACCACAAGTTTAATAACCAAAGTTAATTATGCAGATAATACATTAGCCAATAGCCTATAATTCTTTACTATTATTGTTGAAAAGGATGTCTTTTAACTATTGTATTCATTTTTGCCTTAATTGCACCCAGAAATATTGTACAAATACACACTAATAGAATAGATAAGATTGTTTCTGTGGTTGTTGTGAGTGAAACGATAAAACAGCAAAAACCGTGTTTGATTTTTAATTGAGTAGCAGCTGTTCAAATGTGATTTGGCAGTTCACAATACCCTTTCGTATTTCCAATTCTTTTCACCAATCTCACCTAAGTAGCTATGAAAAAACCAAAGATTTATTTTCTGAATAGTGTGTGATTGTTTCTTGTTAAACACTTTGAGTTGACAATTTAAAATGGTCTAATAATCTACGACTGTCTTCCCCCTTGTACTGTCCTCCATTCCACCTTTTCATCCATCCATCCATCCATTTTCTACCCTTTAATCCATTTCTGGGTCAGGGGGGTGACAGTCAGAGATGCCACCCAAGTCTCATAGCACCAGCCCCTCACTGACCCTCTGCAGGTGGTGAGTCCACAGGAGGACGGCTGCTCTCTGAGTGTGAGCATAGCCTTGATCTTTCAGTGGGGGCTTTGGGCAAAGTGGGGTTAAGTGTCTTGCCCAAGGACACAACGACAGCAGTCATTAGTGGGAGTCGGTGGAGAAGGTGTCGAGGTGGGAAAAGGTCCACCTTTTCTCAACATTAAATAATGACGGACGTTTTACTCCCAAAAGAAGATGTGACGAGGACAGAGGAGCAGAGGAGCAAACAGCCGAAAAATCCAGGAATCAAACATTTTTTAGAGGAAAGAACATCGGCACGAATTAGGGCTGCAAGATTAATCAAAATCGCAAATTTAATTTGGCAATAAACGTACATTTTTGTAGTATTTTCAATTTGCTAACAAAAAAGGGACTGGAGAAAGGCAATAAAATGAAAAGAAAAAGTATCTTTATCATGATTTGTTAATGGCACAACAAAGTAGTTTTCTTTTGTTGAAGTGTCAGGAATAAAACAAAGACGGGATCATGGCGCAATAAAGCTCTGGAAGTTTATTTAGGTTTCTCTCAGGTTTCAGTTGTTTTTCAGAAAGACTAAAGGCAGGACATGATTTATATAGTCATTGTTACGTCACAGATACACATCGAAGACACACGTGTCACATTCAGAGACACTCAGAGCATATTACAGTCATAACATGGATACACAATCAGAGTCTGTTTGTCCACCACGTAGGCCATATAGCTATCTAATCCTCATAGAACTATTGTTTTCCCACTCCAAATGAAAGATTTTTTTTTTTTCATAATTTATAAAAACTATACAAAACTGCAAAAGAATTTAGAAAGAAATTTAAAAAACAACTTAAATGAAGCGTTTCTATTTACAATATTTGCAGTGAATCTTTCATTTCTACTCAAAAGTTTTCCTTAAAGTTTCCTCACTTTAGGTTTCACTTGTGCTATACAAATAAATCTACCTTGCCTTCTGTAAACATTTTCTGTTTATAATTATTAACATTATTTCATTGCTGAATTCATACGTACACTTTTCTAATGTAACTCTCTTGAAGTTATTTTTACACTGAGCAAAAACGGACTCTTAAAACATACAGGATATTAAAGCATCACAATGGCAACGTTGGTCAGAAAGATCACAACTACGGCAGATATTTGCCAAAATCAGACTAACACAGATCATAAATAGCGAGGTCTGGAGAAGCCACGAAAACATTCACAAATGAGACATTGAATCTAAATCATGACTAGGTACAAGATAATACTATCTCAAAAGAGGAAGAAAAGATACGGGAACAATTTTAGGGACACAGAATAATTATAGAAAAAGTAGAAAACATGTACAATTTAACATCAAAAGTCCAAAACCCTACAATTGTCACATCTCTCCCCGATGACGGTTCATACGTTGTAATTTGGTTTCATTCCTTCACTTCTTCCCTTTGTTCCACACTTGTGACAGACCGCTTGCGTTGTCGATCTTTGGAGTGGACAGTCCGCAGGTGAACTCTCATGTAGCTGGCCAGAGAAAACTCTTTGTTTCTGTGTGGGTCATCATGTGTGCTTTAAGCACTTCTGACCGGGAGAAGCATTCGCATTTTATACGGCGGCCTCTTCTGTTTCCTAAGGTGAATACTCTTGTGTCTCTCCAACTTTGAGGGTCGGTCAAACATTTTTGAGCAGACAGGACATGGGTAGTCCCTGGTCCTGGTGTGTTTTGCCTCGTGCCGCAAGTACATTTCTCTTTGACTTTGTCCTCTGAAAGATTTATCACAATGTTGGCACTGGAAGACTACTGACGGCTTCTTCTCCTTCAGGTGCACAGGTTCGTGTCTCACGAGCTTTGATGGTCTGTCAAATACCTTACCGCAATGAGGGCAAGGAAAACATTTGGTAGAGGGGGGTTTGGAGGGCCCTTTCACTCCACCTATTGAAGGCTTATCCCCACAATCTACTGAATGATCATCCTCGTCTATTGAAACCTCAATAGAATACACTTCTTCTGTTGGAAGAAATAGTAACATGAAGTAAATATTTTTGACAGAATGCATTTAGGAACATTAAATAACAAACATTAGGAACAGTATTAGTAAAGGATTATCCTAACTTTAGAGGAATATAGGTAATCGAGTAACGTAAAGACAATTTCAATAAATATAAATCTTATTTTGGCTTACCTTCATCAGAAAACTCCTGTTTACAAGAGGAAGGCTCCATGATAGTTGCAGGGGTTCCTGTGCTAACTACCGCTATGTGTGGATGGAGAGAGGAGAAAAATAAACAAAATAATAATATACAAAACTCTAGTTTAATGTTCTTTGTGCAAAATGAAGAATAATCTGACCCATGACGTGATCACAGCAGACTGTCGATCACAGCCACTGGCGACAACACTGCAGCTGCAGAGAAATGTGCTTCCTCCACAGGACACCGTGCTGCTGCCCCCCTGGCGGCGCGGAATGAGAATGCGACAACAACTCAATATGTTTCATTTAATATATGACACAGATAATATGCAGTAGAAGCAAAAAGGTTTTGCAATCACAAAAAGGTACGCAAAATAAATCAATAAAAATCACAGTAGGTATAGCAGCCAATTATCAATCACTACACCATCAGTCTGATCATTAGCTTCAACCCGATCAATTATCTGTTACAGCCCCAAATAGTTTAATTTATATAAATATAAACAAAAGTGACATATAAACAAACCTTTAGGAGTCCACTTCCATGCCTTATATCTGTTATTAAAACATATATAATTGTTATCACAAGTTTAATAACCAAAGTTACATTATGCAGATAATACATTAGCCAATAGCCTATAATTCTTTATTATTGTTGAAAAGGATGTCTTTTTACTTTTGTATTCATTTTTGCCTTAATTGCACCTAAAAATATTGTACAAATACACACTAATAGAATAGAATAGAATAGATAAGATAAGATTGTTTCTGTGGTTGTTGTGAGTGAAACCGTGTTTGATTTTTAATTGAGTAGCAGCCTTTCGTATTTCCAATTCTTTTCACCAATTTCACCTAAGTATATGAAAAAACCAAAGATTTATTTTCTGAATAGTGTGTGATTGTTTCTTTCTTGTTAAGCACTTTGAGTTGACATTTTAAAATGGTCTAATAATCTACGACCGTCTTCCCCCTTGTACTGTCCTCTATTCCACCTTTTCTCAACATTAAATAATGACGGACGTTTTACTCCCAAAAGAAGATGTGACGAGGACAGAGGAGCAAACAGCTGAAAAATGCAGGAATCAAAAATATTTTACATCAGCACAAATTAGGGCTCCAAGATTAATCAAAAATGAATCAAAATTTAGTGATCGCATTAGGCAATACACGTTTATTATTGTAGTATTTTTGAACAAAAAAGTGAGTGGAGAAAGGCAATAAAATGAAAATAAAATGTATCTTTTTCATGATTTATTAATGGCACAATAAAGTAGTTTTCTTTTGTTTAAGTATTGTTTTCCCATTCCAAATGAGATCTCATTTTTTTCATAATTTATAAAAACTATAAAAAACGGCAAAAGGGTTTAGAAAGGAATACAAAAAAAACTTAAATTAAGCGTTTCTATTTACAATATTTGCAGTGAATCTTTCATTTCTACTCAAAAGTTTTCCTTAAAGTTTCCTCACTTTAGGTTTCACTTGTGCTATACAAATAAATCTACCTTGCCTTCTGTAAACATTTTCTGTTTATAATTATTAACATTATTTCATTGCTGAATTCATACGTACACTTTTCTAATGTAACTCTCTTGAAGTTATTTTTACACTGAGCAAAAACGGACTCTTAAAACATACAGGATATTAAAGCATCACAATGGCAACGTTGGTCAGAAAGATCACAACTACGGCAGATATTTGCCAAAATCAGACTAACACAGATCATAAATAGCGAGGTCTGGAGAAGCCACGAAAACATTCACAAATGAGACATTGAATCTAAATCATGACTAGGTACAAGATAATACTATCTCAAAAGAGGAAGAAAAGATACGGGAACAATTTTAGGGACACAGAATAATTATAGAAAAAGTAGAAAACATGTACAATTTAACATCAAAAGTCCAAAACCCTACAATTGTCACATCTCTCCCCGATGACGGTTCATACGTTGTAATTTGGTTTCATTCCTTCACTTCTTCCCTTTGTTCCACACTTGTGACAGACCGCTTGCGTTGTCGATCTTTGGAGTGGACAGTCCGCAGGTGAACTCTCATGTAGCTGGCCAGAGAAAACTCTTTGCCGCACTCCGGGCACTCATGCGGCTTGCCTGCGGTGTGGATTAAGCTGTGCGCCTTTAACTGCCAGCTCGAGCCAAATCCTTTCTCGCAGACGTTGCAAGTGAACGGCCGCTCACCTGTGTGGGTCATCATGTGGGCTTTAAGCGCTTCTGACCGGGAGAAGCATTTGCCACACTCGATGCATTCGTACGGCTTCTCTCCGGTGTGAGTCCGAAAATGACGCCGCATGTCTTTTGCTTCTATGAACGCCATGTCACAGAGGGTGCATTTGTGGGGTTTTTCTGGCAGTGCAACATGACTTCGTTCGTGAACCTTGCACCTGTTTGAGTCGGAGAAGGTTTGTCCACAGACAGAGCAGGTGAACGGCCTCTCCCCGGTGTGCACACGCTCATGACGCTCGAGTTTGTGGAGTTTACTAAATATTTTGCTGCAGAAAGAGCACTGATGAGGAGCCTTTGGTTTCTTTAAATGAATGGCTCTGTGTCTTTCCAACTTTGAAGGCCGGTCAAATACTTTAGGACAGTCTGGACAAGGATGCGTGCTTGTCCTGGTGTGTCTTATCACGTGTCGGTTGAGTAGATCTTCATCTTTGAATGATTTATTGCAAAAAGGGCATTTGAAAAGAGTCTTCTTGGGCTTGCTGTGAATAATTTCATGCCTGGCTCTTCTGGATGGTTTATTAAACAACTTCCCACATACAGAGCAAGCATGGGACTTAAAGTCAACTTTCCTTTTGGAAGGTGCTTGTTTAGCACCAACTAAGGGATGCTCTTCTCCTGAAGGGCACTCTGAGGAAAAAACGAACACATATGACTCTACATAACATAACAAGTGAAATATGTACCTTTCTAAGTAGGAAAATCTAGCCATGTTTCTATGAAGGCATAGCTAGATTTTGTTAAAATATATAGTCTAATACTGTAATACATACTGAATACATTTTTTACAAAACAACGATTTAAGTGCCTTTGAGAGCATTGTAAAGGTTAGTTGAAATGAATAGAACACTTCAAACACAGGGTAACCCAGAATGCTTTTTTACAAAACATAAATAATCATTAATAAAACTCACTTAAATACTATACAATTATATATTTTAGATGGAAGAACAGATACAGTTGTACAAACAGCTAAATAGTTGTGTTTGATAGCGCCACTCACGTTCGTCCGAAGACTCCTGTTTAATGGTCGTGTTGGGATCCTCCATGGCCGAAAAGGTTCCGTCTATCCTCTAGACGTGTAATGCTGTGTATATAATTGTATTTACAGTCCAGAAACATCAGCTTAATGTAGATGTTTTCTTTTCGTAATAATAAAGCTATGCTCTTTGCTCGATGAAAACCTCAGCACTTCTTCTGCGCTGTTGTTGCTGTAAACATACTAGCTTCTACTGCCCCCTGCTGACGGAGTGAAGGCAACACTTTAACTTTGATTTGTCATAAGACTCGCTACATTCATAAGGCTTCTCTCCGGTGGTGTCATGGATCTAGGGTGGTGTGGGGTAAAAAATGACGCGACTCATAAAATAAAAATAAATTCTTTAAAAATCCTACAATGTCAATTCCTGGATTTTTTTTCACATTCTGTCTCTCACAGTTAAAGTGTACCTATGATGAAAATTACAGACCTCTGTCATTATTTTAAGTGGGAGAACTTGCACAATCGGTGGCTGACTAAATACTTTTTTGCCCCACGGTATTTACTTCAAATCCATGCAAACAAGTTGAACATGTAAACTTGAACTGTCTTGTGAACATGAACAAATCCACCACACTTTTTGTAGTGGACACATTTATTGGAGAAGATTAAATGTTGTAAGCTAAAAACGAATACATAGTGTGTAGGCAAAAAAATCCTTTTATTAGCTTTCTCAATCACCAGCTTCAGTCAACTTCTTTTTATGTGCTTCTGACCTCTTGTGCCGGCTTAAAGCATGGCTCCAATAGAAACTAACGTCACATGGTAAGCATACGTAGGGCTTTTCTCCTGTGTGTATTCTCTGGTGCATTTTCATTGTCCTGTACTCTTTAAATGTTGAACCACATTCATTGCAACTATACTGGCGATTTTCAGAGTGTACCGTTTGCTCGTGTATTCTCATATTGCCTGCTTGAGCAAAACTTTTACCACACACAGAACACACGTGTGGCTTTTCTCCGGAGTGTGTCAGCATGTGAATGTTCAGGTCTGTCCGTGAATAAAAAGCCTTTTTGCAGATGGTGCATGAGAATGGCCGTTCTCCGGTGTGGCTCCTCATATGTCTTCGGAGTCCTTCTGAGCGAGAGAAGCACTTTGCACACTCACTGCATTCATACGGGCGTTCTCCTGTGTGGCATCGAAAATGACGCCGCAGGATCTTGGCTTCTGTGAAAGCCCTGTCACAAAGGTCACATTTGTGTGTTCTTTCTCGACTCTCATAGGTGGGCTCATGAGTTTTCTCGTGCAAGTTACAGCTTCTGAGCTGAGCAAAACATTTGCCACAGACACTGCAGCTATATGGTTTTTCTCCAGTGTGAACACGTTCATGACGAACAAGGTGGCTGTGTCGGTTAAAGGGTTTGCTACAAAAGGAACACCGATGAAGAGCACGTTGTTTCTTGGTACAAGTCTTTTTTGTTCTGTGCCAAATCAAATCTGAAGAGGAGCCAAAGACTTTAACACAATCAGGACAAGGAGGCTGATCCCGACTGTTTTTTGTGCATTTGTGTTGGATAGGCGTATCACCATCCTCCTCTTCTTCTTCTTCTTTGACAACACAGCATTTGTTTGATTCTTGATCATGCTCTTCATCCGTGGATTCTTCACTGGAGTCTTCTTCCTCTTCCTCCTCTTCTTCTTCGTCTTCTTCAACAACTATTAAACACATACATGAAAATCAACATCAGCACAAATAAACATGCACTACAATATACAGATTTAAACCTTTGGGAACTAAAGTAATAGCATTGCAACATGAACTCCTAAATCCAGGACACTTTGTATACAACGACCTGGCTTCCCATAAACGTTTCCACACAATTTTCATGTATCTTTTCCTTTCACATTGATTTTAGTAATCCTATATCCTGTATAAAGTTTCAGGGAACAGCATTGTGTCTGTTTCAGGTCATATTTAGCCTAAAGGGTTGTTCCAGTTTTACTCACAATCTTCATCTGAAGACTCCTGTTTGCAGGGCGATTCAGGACCCATGGCTCTAAGTATGAATAGATAACAAGGCTAGCACCGCTAGCAAGAATGCTAACAGTGTAGTGTTAGCCTAGCTCCTTGCCAGGCTTAGACATAAGTGGGTTTGACTTTTAAGAACAAAAAGGTTAGTACGGGAAAAAATACTGATTAAATGTCCTATCACTGCAGCCTATGCTCCATGGAAAAGACATGACTGTTTTAATGGTTCACGTTTGCTTTCATGGGCCAGTGTTGCATCGATGTAGCATAAAATGTTTTCTTCTTCGTCAGTAGTTGTGACTTGATACACAGCTCCCTCTGTCGAACACTGTGATACCAGTCCCCTGCAAACACGAAGGTTTTATATTATTGCTAAAAATATTCAGACATGATGAAAATAAATCAAGCATAATTGTAATATAGCCAAATGAAAACAATCCATTTCAGACTAATTATTGTAAGTAAGTAAGTAAGTTATTATTTATATACCGCCTTTTCACTGCAGATCTGAGTCTCAAAGCGGTTTACAATTGTTAATTTTGGGCATTTGTCTCTCACTCCACACAGAGATGGGAGCAGGGTCGCCAGTACAGGAAGCGCATGCCAGAACTATTGGACATATTTTTAGTGGTAGGGGAAACCGGAGTACCCGGAGGAAACCTACGCAGACACGGGGAGAACATGCAAACTCCACTCAGAAAGGCCCTGGTCCGGCCGGGATTCGAACCCAGGACCTTCTTGCTGAGAGGCGAGAGTGCTATCCACTCAGCCACCGTGCCGAAATTGCATTTCTTTATGGAAATTAGATGGATGATTTTACAGCTACTAAAGAGTAATCCTCAGTCGTGTATTAGTGTTGGTCATACTAGACACATCATATTAAAAAACACATTCACTGTTTATCATCACTCAATAAACATTTTTATTGCGAAAATAATTGTACTAGTCATTCAATGGCAACAATACAATTTTTTTTTTTTTGCATAATGGGCTGCATGTCATGTGTAGCTGAAATACAGTGCAATCAGGCAGATGCGACATGAGGGAACTTCCAACACAAAATGGCTCCATCTGCACTCGTGCTGATCAGGATGCGGCTGTTGTTGCAGACTTTGACACTTGTAATACTACCTCCATGTGCTTTGCCAGTGTGAGTTACGATTCCTTTCACATAGTCCCATATCTTGACCAACTTTTCATCACCTCCTAATTAGAAAAGCAGAAAGTTGTTTGGATTGGTCACTAAATGGAGCAACGAGGTGACAGGCCATAGTCCTTACCTGTGACAAAATATTTTCCATCTTGAGTAATGTGAACACCATTAATGGCTCCTGAGTGGGATCCCTCCATTTCTCTAATGGGCGAGCCATCATAAACATTCCAATATGTAATCTATAGAGACATGGAAAGAGAAACAAAACCATGACATTCTACAATTGAAATAGATTGTTCTTACTTTAAAGATATGCATTTTGAACATTGTGTATAAACCTTCATTAACAACAACATGAAATAGAAAAGCACAAACAAATCCTTCCAGAGCTTTATGAGTTACGGCACAAATGAATTGACTAACTGATCAACCAACGGATAAACCTCTAGTGTGACATACCTTTCTATCAGTTCCACTCGTGAGGATCTGGTATTCCTCTGGGTGGTAAGAAACAGCTTGAAAAAAGGTGTTGGCAATCACAGTTTGAAGACTTACAAAACGCCTAAAAGAAAAAATAAATTACAAGCAAAACACATTAAAGGCCCAAATGTGTATAACTACAAAGGTGCAAGAGGGAAACATGGGTGAATGACTCACTCTAAGTCCCAAATGATGCAGGCTCCATCAGAACCTGCACTCACACACTCTTTGTCATCACTCCTTATTTGAATACAAGTAACAGTGTCTTTGTGCTCTTTCATGGACCCGAGCATTCGGTGGCTACTTGACAGAAGTTCCCAAATTCTCACCTGCACCAATAAAATGAAAGATATTTATCATAAATGTAGTAGTATGTTGACTTATGTATTTGTTGATTTGACCAAAGTGTTGCACAAGGCCTGTCATCCATCTGACATTGTTTTTACCTGATGTATTGTAATAATCTGTTTAAGTGTGAGTGTGTGTGCCTGTCTGTACAAAAAGTTCTGGACAGTTTGAGATGTAGGAAGATCCATTATAAATTTGGGACAATACAGTATGTGACCTTGGCGAAGTAGATTGAGTAGTTGTTCTAATTCCAAATTATTGAATCATGAATTCATGTATTCATAGTGTAAAGAGACATTATAACCCACCTGTCCTTCTCCTCCACCACTTACAATCCTTCTACAATCTCTGGTGCCTGCAATGGCTGTAACGCCCAGTTTGTGAGCGTTGTCAATGGTTATCATGAGAGTGCCACTGGCAGGAGCAAAAACTCGAATCTTTCCATCATTCCACGCTAAAGAAGAATGAATCTCATAATGAACAACATACTTAATATTAGTATTATGCAAATGTAAGACACAGTGCTCTGCCTGTCATACCGCTGATGATGCTATGTCCGTCAATCATGAAATCAATGGAATTGCAAGTCATGTTAGGAACAGTGATACGCAGCAGTTCTTTGGGTCTGTTGATGTGCCATAATCGAATGTCTTCTAGAGAGCATGTTGCAAACAGCTCTGAAGAGCCACTAAAACAATAAAAACAGAATTGAGTAATATAGCACAGTGATTATAGATAACTAACTTATACTTATTTTTCACTCACGATGATATAGCCACGTCTTTAACAGCACTATTGTGGCTGGTGGAAATGAGCTCTGCCTTAAAGTTCTCACAAGAGAAGCGATAAATCTGTGCAGAATCTGTTCCAACAAAGAACTGCTGGCCTTCTCCTCCTAAAGCAATGGAGGTGACCCCTTTCTCTAGCTCCACACGCCTGTGAAAGAGGACAGAATAGAAGATCCACTGGTTTTGAAAATACATTTTCTACTTTATTACTTACTTTACAATCTTAAAGTTTGTACTTGAACACAGAGTGAAAGTTCCCGAACCGGAACCAACAAGTATATGTCCTGAGTTCAAAAGACTTAGAGCAGTTACACCCTGGAAAAAAAGCAGGAACATAAATTCAAAAACATGTTGTGAATAGTGAGATTTGACTTACCAAACTATATTTAGTTTTAACAGGCCCACAGTCAGAAAGAAAGCTGCTTTTCATGTTCACTCTCATTATGTCTCCACTGGTGGTGCCACACAGGACATATCTATCATCATCTGTTATCTGGTTAAAATATGTACATGTTTTCAAAGTAATTCATATATTTACTACGTCTACAAATGTATGAACACATATTATTACATACCTCTATGCATTTGACTATTCGTTTAAATTTGCCCATCTGACAGTCTAAGGGTCGGATTTTCCTGTTAGGAATATCCAGCTCCCAAACACGCAACGTCCCACTGCACACACATTATTCACCAAATTACAAAGACGGAATATGAACTTAAAGCATTAAAAAGTATTAACATTATACCTTCCAGCAGACACAAAAAGGTGATCGTTATGATTTGAATACTTCACTGTAAGACAGGGTCCGGCGCTGTGGGGTGAAGCAGGACTTCCACAAATGGCTTGTTTTGTTTCAATGTCCCAGACTACAATGCTAAAACAGACAGATGATATCCAACTTTACTTGAAGGTGTTCTTGAGTATGTTTACATATACGCAGAACTTACCTCCCATCATCCACACCACCAAGAGACACAAGATATTTGTTATTGGGTGAAAATGACAGTGCTTCCACTTTAGCCATGTGGAGTGAAAGCTGGGCATATATATTGCGCTGTTCATAGTCCCAAATTATTACATCAGCCTTGGGACAAATACATGTAGTTTATGATCACTTTATGCAATTCTTATGTGTTTTGCATCGAACACACCTTAAATCCCATGAAGTTCACTTGTCCAGAGGCAATGTACTGTCCACTTCTGGACACAGATACACAGGACACATTGTTGTTGTGTCCATGTAAGAAGTCCTGCTTACCATCTTGAATTCTTTTGATAATGACTGTCCATCCCAGAGGATAGATGAAGTGTGTTTTGTCTGGATGAAGCCTCAATCCTGAGACTACATGACCTGTCAACACAAGAGTAATGTAGTAAATAATGTTTATTTTTGAAGGGCATTTTACAGACCAAGGTCACCCAAAGAGCTTTACAATGTTCAGAGTTCAGATATTGTTCCAATCATTCCACACACGGTGATGACTGAAGCGAGTCGCTGAACACACTGGCACAAAAGCTCCAATCAACACCATCCATTCACTCTCTCATTTACATTCAGACCTATTGTGCATGTTTTTAGTGGTAGGGGAAACCGGAGCACCCGGAGGGCCGGAGCAAGAGTAGGTTAAGTTAAAGGGGCTGTCATGTAGTTTTGAGTGGGAGATTTTCAGCGGTTTCTGCTGTATTGCAAATGATATTCACTTAATTTCAGTTTATCCGTGACTTAAGTTCTAAAAATAGAAGAAAGCTTTACATATTCATTTTATCCTAGAACAAAGTCACCTATATAGCTAGCGTTAGTTTAACTAGGGTTAATTGGATTGAATGAATGGGAGTTATAGTCATGGATCTATAGTAGCCTAGTTCCAGTGTTAAGTCAACTAACTTAGCAATGTTAGATATTATCGTGTATCAAATGTATCAAAGTTTAACATGCATGATGGCAAAATAGCAGCTGAGATTAGAAAATCGTCGGGTGGAAAAATAGGCACAATGGATAATGAGAACTAGTGTTAGTTAGCTAACGATGGTTTTAAGTTAACATTTTTAGCACACACCTAAAATGACAATACAGTTCACCTACCATTAAATCCAATAACATACTCCAGCTCGAGTGAGTTCTGCGTTTCCTGAGACATTGCACAGAACACATGAAACTCCAGTAGTTGCAGTGAAACAGTCGCTCTGTTTTTTTAAGCCACGACACAAACAAACATGAGTTACCATAGCAACAGACACCCCTCAAGAGCGCGCGATACTTTCCTGATGTAGCGAACCGTGTAGTGCAAGCGTATTATGTGAGGAGGAGTTCATTTAGTACTTTTCCCCAAACGAAGGCATTTATTTCGCAGAAATACCAACATGGATGTACCCAGAAATAAACAATTTTATATCATTTGGTTCTGGTAAGACAGGTTCTGAATATTGTGCTGATAATGATAATTTCTTGAATTTCAGCCTTAGACATGTGCTACACCTGCACATGGATTAGGCATACAAAATCTATTACTAATTACATAACCATTTCCTAATATATATATATATATATATATATATAATTTGTGTTTACAATGATGTGAGCACTGAATGTGAGTTACTATTCCCTACATTTATTAAATGGATATTTCAAAGTGAAGTTAAATTTCCTAATATGTTTTTTTGTTTTTCTTTTTAATTGTATTATGACCCAAGACAGGTGTTAAAAATAGAAAAAAAAGTCAGGACAAAACAATTTTATTCAAGGAGGAATGCAAACTGGCGCACTTTTATGAACAAACTTAAATTATTTTACACCTTTTTGTCAGTGTCATTTTACGAAGTTTATATATATATAAAAAAAACCAAGTAAATAATACCAATGGAAGCACAGTGAGAATGCCTTAAACTAGAAAACAATTATGAGTTGCTCACGTCACGAGCGCATCAGACACATGGGTCTCAGTGGTCTCAGTTGACAGTCTTTGATGCGAGTGCGACCTCTTGTGTCTACTTAAGGCATGGCTCCAAGAAAAGCTCACTCCACATGTAAGGCACGAGTATGGCTTTATTCCGGTGTGGATTTTCTTATGCGTTTGCAGTGACTTGTCTTGTGAAAATGCAGCTCCACATTCCTTGCAGATATATTGACAATCTTTCTTGGAGTGGACAGTCCTCTCGTGTACCCGCATATTGCCAATCTGAGCGAACCCTTTGCCACAAATGGGACACCGGTGTGGCTTTTCTCCTGAGTGGGTCAATCTGTGGTTCTTTAATTCATGTTGTGAATAAAATCCCTTTTCACAAATAGAACATACGAATGGTCGCTCGCCAGTGTGACTCCTCATGTGTCTCTTAAGTCCTTCTGAACGGGAGAATCTGCTTTCACACAGGGCACAACGGTACGGTCTATCGCCAGAGTGGGAGCGTAAATGGCGATTTAATCTAGAGGTTTGAATAAAACCCATGCCACAAATTGAACATTCAAATGGTTTTTCAGGACTACTGTCATGCATTTTTTCATGTACTTTACAACGGCTCAGATCTGTGAAACCTTTGCCACAGAGAGAGCAAGTGAATGGTTTCTCTCCGGTGTGCATCCGCTCATGCCGAACAAGTTTGTTATTCTTAGTAAATAGCTTTTGGCAGAATGAACACTGAAATGATTTTTTTTTTTTGGCATGAGTTCTCCTGTGTCTTTCTAACCTTGAGGGACGGTTGAAGATTTTTCCGCAGTCTGGACAAGGATGCGTATTAGGTCTATGTTGGCTGTTTTTGTGCCTATTCAGTGCTTCCTCTTGAGTAAAACATTTGTCACACTGCTCACACTTAAAAACAGGTTTGGGCTTTTTCAGATGTACAGGCTTATGTCTCAGTAGATTTGATGGTTTACTAAAAATCTTTCCACACTCCGAACAAGAATGACCAATATTTGCAGCACGATCCACGGACAGTTCATAGTCATCATCTTCAGATTTGACTTCAGTCTTGATGGGATCAGACACTTCACCTGGAACTGTGACAGATGGAAACAGAGCCATTTGTACTCAAATGTATGCAACAACAAAAAAAGACAGTAAATAAGGGAACCTACCGCTCTTAGTCAGCATAGATGTAGTTTCAGGGCCCATGACTGTGAAAAAAACAAGGTTGATTATGAATAATAATTAATCAATATTTTTCTTTATCACCTTGTTGACTTGATAGCCACATTCTAGTGTTAACTGTATACTGTTTATAACTCTCATACTGCGATTGTCAGGACCTAAATACGTCAATAGGGGAATTCCAAGTTAAATTCTGTGGATCTATTTATTATTATTATCGTCGTAGATATTTTATTTCTTTCTCTGCTCTGCTGTCTAGCTTGTTTTTGTGTGAATTTGAACTGAGGACCCCCTCGATTATGAGATGGTTTAAATCAAAGGGCCATTACTCTTACTGATAATAGTAAAGAAACTGTGAATAAAAATAAAAAATAAAATGTGGCCCTATAGATTATTGAACCACCATAGCACTTCAGACTGTGCTGCCAAAAGATATGCTGAAAATATTGCACATATCTCTTCAGGTGAGCAGAATATCTACACCGTTACACAAGCTGTAAGTCTACATTACACAGTCAGTGTTATCCGTTATTATTATAGATCCATGGGGTTATCCCATGAAAAGAAAAAAATAAATGCAATATCTGCATATATGTGCGGTGATGGATGTAGGCCTACTCATGTTCCTGAGATACTGGCTCGGGATGTTTTCAGCAATAACAACACTATGTCAGAACACAAGCACAATATGTGGACAATGTCATTTGGTCTGTGCAGAAAAGAGGATGGTGGCCATGTAGCTACACTCCCTCAACCTCCACAGGCTAAGCTCAGTCAGAAAAAAGTGGGTCATAGGGACATAGTGAGGGATCATAGGGTCACGATGACATCGGAGGGACAATGAACAACCTCTACAACAACAATCTTTATGTTGGAAAAGACAGTGTGCAGATAGGCCTACGATGGACATCTATATGGTTAACGCACGCTAACAAACAAGCCTTACTTACCAACGCACCATTTAGAATAAATGTGCAAACAGGACTCCTCCGATCTGCGCCAGCCCAGGGACAGGTTAATATTTACAGTCTATGGATCTATCTAATCGATGGATCTAATCTAACCTAGTAGATACATGGAAACGGTCAACCAGACACCGATAACATAATGCATCCATGCCAGACACCCAGTGGGTCTTCTTCTCATCCACATAGACAAAAAGGTGCATTACTGCCACCCAGTGTATACATGTACAAAGGCGTGGGTGCAAACAGTCTATGGTGCAAACTCATAGACAGGCCAGCAAAAAACTGTAGAACTAACACCTCTCAGAGAAGTTAAAGCACAAGATCTTTATTCAAAAGTACAAATTTGAAATGTAGTAATATAAGTAAACAATTTCAACATATCAGTTAAATATCTGAATTATTTAAAATGATGAAACACCATATATTTAATCTACCAAAAGCTCATGGGGATTTTATTCCCCCCAATATAAACAAAAAGTTGTTACTGTGTAGTGCCAATGTTCTTTATGGATTTTTTTTTTTTCTGATGGAGAGCAACACTTAAAGTGATAGTCTGTAACTCTAAATGAATTACACATTTTAAGAATTGTATTAAATTAACCTCTTGGCCTTAAATGTTGATATAAAATAAGTCATTTTATTAATTCTAATATTACAGGTAAGTCCCGCCTTCCCTTCTCAGAATCCACGATGCCGTCCACGTTAACCAATCAAGTCATGCCAACGGCTGTCAATCATCGGCGCTCATGCTCGTAGCTGCTCATGCTCAGTTGTTTGTTTTCGTGGAGCCTCCGAATCAAGCCTTTTAGGCTCTGAAACTACATGAAAACTGAACAAACAATTCTGAACATCCGTGCTGAGTTACCCATTTATATACTGAACCTATATCCATAATCATTTATATACTGAACCTATATCCATAATCATTTATATACTGAACCTATATCCATAATAATTTATATACTGAACCTATATCCATAATCATTTATATACTGAACCTATATCCATAATCATTTATATACTGAACCTATATCCATAATCATTTATATACTGAACCTATATCCATAATCAGATCCTCTGCAGATGTGTGCTATAATGTACAATTCATGATAATAGCTACTTCCGGGTTTGCCGTGATTGCTTTTTTTGAGCATTAAAACACTTTTTTTCATGAGAACGTTAAGAAATAATTCTGAAAACCTCTGTGCATGTATATTAATAATGTATATGTATAATGTGTTCTCAGATTAACATTTAAATGTGTTACGGAAATGTAGGCGAAGACCAATCAGAAAGGAAGGGGGAGGGAGCTTGCGTCGTTTTTTTCCAATCAAGTACCTCTCTCTCTCTTTCTGAAAAACTGCAGACAATCACTTTAACTCTTGTGCGATGATCAATGAACAAATTGTGACAAGGCTTAAAGCAACTTCAAATACATACTGTATTTAATATTTTATACAATAAAAAAATGTTATGAGTTGTACTCAGTCTATTTCATAATTGTTTGCAAAGGTTGAGAACAAGAGATGGAGTTTTGAATTCCCCAAACTTCCAGTGACTGGATTTTAAAGTGTCCTTTGCTTAAAGGTGCACTCTTGAAGGTTTCACAACATTCAGAGTATCCTTCATGCAGGTTCTGCTGTACGCACAGGGCATGTCCCCCATCACCTCCTGGAGAGAAAAATAGAGGTAATTAACAACAATAGATGTTATCATTGGTGACCAGAAGTTTCACTGTAATTTAAACCTTGTAGGAAAGGCATCTGGTCAGCTCTTCTCAAGGCAGTGCAGTGTTTTAGATTTCAAATCATTATACCAAATGTGAATGCATTTGAAAACTAAATGGTGAGACATACAGTATGTTCCAATTCGTTTCTGTAAATTAAGTATAAACTAAAGACAATTTACAGTATTTAAGATAAGCCTCTTTTAATAGTGGTTCAGGCTATGTTCAGACTGGCTTACCTCTGCTCTTGAGTACAGTAACACATCATGTCCATTTGCTTACCAATCACCAGCTGGCTCTCATTTCCAGCGATGAACATGGAGGCCTCTTGTTCTTTGGCTCTCTTGGGCTGCTTAGCAGATGGAGAGGTGGTTGACTGTGCAGTGAAGGGGACAGTGAGAAAACTCGGGTCCTGAGGAGTTCCCACTGGACATGTTAGACTAGCTCCATTAATGGTGCTGGCGCTGCTGCTAATAGACAGTGCAGAGCCACTGGGGTATGGCTCATTCTGCTGCCCTAAAACTAATCTTGTCATTATGTTTATCAATGCCTGCTGGTAGCGTTCCATACTGGGACGAAGCTAGAAAGGCAAATATCATATATCATCCACCTTATATATAATTAAATAAAGGTTGAAATTAATATAGTGGAAAAGAAGTACTTACCGTGAAAACAAAGCATTCTCCAGTTCCGAAATATGTTAGGTTTTCATGTTTTCGCCTTTCAATCACATCTGTAGATAGAAAAGCACCAAAGACCTAAAAAGGATTTATAAATGTTGGGCTATGTTCAATAGTAGTGTAAAATTGTTAAATGTTTGGTTAAAATCCGCTTTCACCTCTTCATCCACTGTTTTGATCAAAAGAACTGCAGGCTCATGTCCTTCCACGTGAGAATAAAATCTGCAAGAGAAATGTGCACATGCATGGTTTTTAGTGTAACTTTTAGTCAATGCAAACTTGGGGTTTGCAGGTTTCCTCTGTGTGCTCTGGTTTCTCCTACCTCCTGTATGGCAACCCCCCTCACATCTCTGTGTGGAGTGAGAGGCAAATGCCCACAATTTTAAAGCGCTTTGTGACTCTGTCTGGTCTGTGAAAGGCGCTATATAAATAAAGATGACTAAACTTGATTGTAAACCTAACCCCCTTTCCAACCCAGTGAAAGACAGCAGAGATACACATAACCCTCTGCTAAAACAATGGCAAGTTAGCTGAGCAGATGTACCACTTACGAGGCCAGGCTCCTCTGGTGCTCTGTGGTGCTGTAGAGCCGGATGGGACTGAACAATGCAAAGCGCTCTGGGATCCACGCCCACACCACCTGCATCTCGGTTCCTGTGACCACACTCGAGCTGAAGTTGGTGAAGTCCACACTCTCCACAGATTGCCTGAGGATACATTAAACCGTATAACGTGTATGCAAACCTTTGATGCGGCGTTTTGAATGAGTATGATTAGTGTACCTCTTCTGATGGGAGCTCACACCTTTCTGCATCAAAGAGTCCTTATTGGCGTTAAAGAGAAGGTTGAGCTCTCGCCGCGTGGCCATTGGGATTTGGAAAGATTTATTCAGGAGATCCTCGGGGGTGCAGTGGCGAGCAACATTCTGCACAAATCTCTTCATGTCAGTCCTGAAGTCCTCCACATCTGCCACTCGGGATGAAACTGACACTTTGTAGAGACCAAGAAGAGCCAAAGCAACCCTATGGGAGTGTGAGCCAAATACACAATATCAAAATACCATAATCCATTTACTGTAATAGTTATTCTATCTACTCCCAATTAATGTTTTTTCACTCTCCGGGTCTCCGTACGTAAATGTTTCATTTACTTTGTCATTCCACTGCAACTAACCCTAACCCTAACCCTCTGATTGTAAAGTCATTCCTTAAAGAAGTGTGTAATAAATTTGGCCAAAAGAGGTACTGCACTCTCCCTGACTCAGGTTGCCAGATATGCAGACGAATCCAGCTTGGACCATAGTATTTGAATAAAGACTTTTGTCAACAACAAATCTATACCAACCAACATCTTTTTCACAAAGATAGAAATCCTGGTTTTATTCCTTGTTTTGTCTTTAATGATGTGAGAATCATAACGAGACCTTTTTTACTTCTGCGGCCACATGTTACTTTACCAGTGAGATTACATGTAGCTCGACGCGGTGATTTCTGGCAACCTAAATCACGGACTTTCTGATTGGTAAAACGGTGGAGGGCGGGACATTGAAATGAAAACAATAACAAGATTTAGGGGCAGTAGAACTTATTTTGAAATCCAAATATCTCAGCTGAACTATTGTTATCAGTTAAAGAAGTATTTGAGAAGAGCATGTTTTGTTAATGCCTTTTGACAGATAGTGCCAATTAATTATGACTTGACATAAAAAATTACATATTGCTAGTTTAAAGCTGGGGTACCTAAGTTTCAAACCACAAAAATGCATGCATAAATATAATGATGTATGCCGATGATACATGCATTTATTATTGACCTCTATAATTTACATCTGCTTTTTCAGTGAAAAAAGAGGACCAGCCTCACTCATTAGTATCAGCCCAAAGCATCAAGTAGTGACTGAAAGAGCTCTGAACGTATGCAAAAGATAACATGTTTTCTAATAAGATGAAGACAGCTCTCAGTACATTTAAACAACCTAAAATGATCAAGGAAGACTTTAAGGATCACAAACCTGTACAGGACTTTGAATCCCTCTAGCAGGTAAACATCTAAAACTCTGATGGCGTAGATGAATGGGAGGTCCGCAAATATCCACATGATCCAGTCAGAGTAAAACTCAAAGAGGTTTTGATGTGAACTCGCAATTAATTTACGAATGCCACGGCAGCACTTGTTGGCAAGATCACCAAAGGTCATACAGGAAGCTCGGTATGTGAGGAATGTCTGGTCGATGTAGCGTTTGTTGGGGTCGGTGTAACAGATGAGGCGGGCCACACTATAGAAACACTCGGCTTCATCCATGCTGAAGTGGAGAATGAGCGAGACTAAAGCTGGCAGGATGGGGCAGTAGTTCATATCCGGGAAGTACTTGCCGAGACAAATGAGAATCTTTTTGACAGAGTTCAGGCCAGCTTTGTTTAGGCAGTATCTAGAGAAGAGAATATATTGATTTGCAGATTATACAAGTGTCAACAATGATTTAAAAGTACTCAATAAATCTGCTTTGAATCAGGTATGCATACTGAATGGTTTATTCATTTAAATAGACAAGAGGTTGCATTCAGGTCACATTTTTCAGAATAGTAAGTTAAGTAAAAATCATAATTTGGACATGGATAAAGGCCTGAAATTGTTGCCCATGCAACCCACAGTGGACCAATGAGCAGGTGAACAGGTTAGAATATGTTAAAAAACTGACAAGATCCAATTTTCACAAACTGGATTTACTCTGGGATCTCTTTCAAAAATCTCAATTAGACTTTGGGGGTGTTCACACTTTAAAAAAAATCAGGCAGAAATGCTTGACGTGGAGATGTGAGACCACCAAGTAAGTGCACACATTTCAGTAGTCATTTAGGTAATTTTGGTGGTTTCACGTCTCCACATATGAAACATGTTTGCCATAATTGGTTCAGTTAAATTGAACTCTAGTTCACTTGGAACTCAACTGTGAACCCATCCTCTGGCAGCTGTCCATGTGCGTTTATGGCAATAACTGTAAATACAAATAGGCTTGATTGTTGTAAATACAATATAAGCTACATATAAAAACTTGAATGTGATACCTGGGTATTTCTGCATCCTCCATATACTCAGGAGCAGGGTGTGAGCTCACTTTCTGTTCTCCAAAGAGTTTTTTGGTCAGTTCATAATACACATTTCGCCCTGGATGCACCGTTTTTATACTGCTATGAAAACATATAGAATGTTAGACTAGATTGCTAAGTTCTTGTGAGGTACAAGTTGTATAAGTACAAGATCTTGTGAGGCATGAGTCTTGAATCAATAATAATAATAATAATAATGATAAAACATTTGACATTTGAGATACTTATGAACGATACTTAACATAACTTTCTTTACTTATAGCACATTTCACGGACAAAGGCTACAGAAATTGTGGTCCTATTTTTAGACCCATTAATCCCTAAACTAGACCCAGGAAATATGTATTCTAAATCTGGTTTGGATGTGGTCGTGCTCAGAAGGTATTTGCATGTGGAAAATGCTTTAGATAGATAGATCTGTAGATACAAAACTCAAAAGAAGAAAGTGCGGAACATTCTGCACGTCCAGACAAAAAAACAAACAAATACATTGGGTTATTGAAAACTTTGGAGTCTGAAGTTGATACAGCATCGTTCAACAAGAATAATGAGACTTCACAGGAAAATTGTAAACACCTCGCGCACAACACAAAAAGCGCATAATCTAGCATTTCTGTCTCTAGATGGGGTGTGTTCCATGATTCAAGAACATTTCCATCCCCAGTATGGATTGAATGTATAGTTCAGAAACTATTTCCAGGGACCCCAGAAAGGGTTGTGGGAAGGTGCATACTGACCTCGAGTTGATGCTGTGTATTATGTGATAGTAGGATTTGGCTCGTAAAGTATGTGGCATTTCCCAGTAGCCCTGTCTGCCCAAAGCCTTCAGTTGCTGGTGATCGCTCTGTACGATCATCTGGTATTTCTTTGCGGCTTCAGGATCAATCTTTTCCCAATCCACAAATTGCCCATACTTCATCCCCGAGTTGCAGCAGATTTTCCAGTTGTCAGCCTCAGATATTGTCATCATAGATGCTGCGAGAAACAGCAGAAATGGCTATTACTAATCACAATTGTACAATGAATTGGCCTTAGAAATAAAGCAGTATATCATTTATCCTCATTCATCAGGTAGGACTGATCATCACAAAGCAAATTTCAACTGGGGGTAAATACATTTTCTGAATCTAGAATACATACTTACTTGTACTATCTTTTGCTGCTTTACTTTGTTTAAGTCTCTGCTTCTTGTGTTGACTTTGTGCGGTGCAGTCTTCTTTTTGTTTGTTTGTCTTATTAACTACAAACAGTAACGAACTTGCTCTTTGTCTCAGCGGACTGGGTCGATTAACAATTCCAATGTCACTACTGGAAAACAACTCAGATGTTTCATAGCTGTAAAACGACCTGTGAATAAGGGAATAATTCAAATAATAAATCTTTTTTTAAACTTTGCTTATTGTATATTATGAAGATAAACAATACAAGCTTCACATAAAGGTCACTCTGTTGTGGCTACAAAATAGAATAGAATAGAATAGAATGGTAAAGTATAAAGGTTTACCTTGATCTTGGTCTGGTTTCCTCTCTCTGTGACTGCAGACCATAGTCTCTACTGTCCTCTGAGCAATAGTAGGAGTGAGACCTCTGTCTTCCTCTACTGTGTATATCTTGATCAGAAGATGCACTCATTGTGACTGTGCTCATGTTTCGATAACTTGAGAACGTGGGCGCTTCTGGAACATGGATCATAGCCCTGGTCTAAACAAAAAGCACAAGTCTGAGGCTGTTTCTTACAGCGTAATTCCATGCCCGGCCTTTATAGACAACAGCCTGTGGGCATGGTCATGTGAGAGCTGCTTGTTTGTGGTGTTGTTACACCATGAAAAGTTCCACTTATAAGTTCAGGAACCATATTCTTAGAAGTGATTGTTATCCAGGAAAAAAACAACGGAATACTTTTATATGTGTCAAAAAAAAATTCAAGAATTTTCATATATAAAGTATTTCCATCCATCCATTTTCTTCCCCTTAATCCCTTTCTGGGTCGGGGGGTGGCAGTCAGAGCTGCACCCAATTCATAGAGCACCAGCCCCTCACTGATCCTCCTGCAGGTGGTGAGCCCACAGGAGCAATAAAGTATTTCATAAACATTTATTTGTGAGATCCCATATTCCGATGCTTGTTATTATTTTTATATAAACACCCCTTTCAGGGAGTCAACACAAGATTTCTGGTGGCTTCAAGTCACTGGCATGATTCCATTGGAAATAGAAAGTTATGAACATTCATCACATGACATGGATTGATTTTACACCATGCAGTGGGATAGGCCCTTCTCCAGCCAAGTTAAGTTTGTGGAGATGCAACTACAATGAACTTTTCTCAATGTACACAAATATATTTTTAACAAGTAATATTGTGGGGTATAAAGACAGACATGAACAATGTGGTACAATGAGTAAAATCAGAATTCTGTAAAAGCTCAGGTAACAAAAATAATTTTCCTCACAGTAATTAAATTCCTTAAAGTAACCCTTCCAGTGGGTCTATATATTGTAAATTAACTGTAATCTATACAAAATTATCTACTTTTATTAATTGCCCAAATGTGTGGTAACAAAATACCGACCTGAGTCATTTCCAAGAAAACATTATTATTCTACAAAACAAGTGCATGTTTTAAACAATCACAGACTTTGTTTTGCTATAAAACATAAAACCTTAGGTAGTGACCTCACATGGGGGATACACATGCAACAGAGCAGCAAAACAATGTCAGACTTAAGAAAGACATGTTCTATTATGGCCAGATAGTCCATGGTTATTTCCATAAAAATTACAAACATTCAAAAATGTTCTCATTTTTGCACGTTTGTAACCTTCATAAGAAAAAAGGTTTGAGAGGTTTGAGAAAGAACTTCACTGCACAGGTCATATGGCAGGCCTAAAAACCAGCCCTTTCTTGGATACATGATACAATTACATTTATTTCACAACAGCAATTGCTAAATAATTGTCAATTCAGACAATCCAAAAATTAGAACACAATTAAAATGTGTTCTAATATCTATATATTCACAATATTAGAACACAGGTCTAATAATATTATATATAGCTGCACCTAGTACACAGAGCACCAGCCCCTCACTGACCTCCTGCAGGTGGTGAGTCCACAGGAGCTGAGATCTTTCAGTGAGGGCTTCAGGCCAAGTGGGGTTAAGTGTCTTGCCCAAGGACACAACGACAGTAGAGTCATGAAGTAGGTGTTGGCTCAGACGCCAATGCTCTACCAACTGAGCCACTGTCGCCCTATATGTATACTCCTTTGGAGGAGTTTCCCACTTAGACCTTGGGGTTTCCAGCCCATACTCTGCACAGATGTTTCTGTACACCAGGGGTGCTCACACTTTTTCAGCATGCGAGCTACTTATAAAAGGATCAAGTCAAAATGATCTACCTACTACAAAAATGCAAATCATATATTTATTTCAAAAAATATTCTTTATACCTACAATGTATGTTTATGTACATGCAAAACTGCATGAGCCAATATAACACAACACAATTACCTATGTACATTTTTTGTCATTACCCGTTTACTCTGATGACTTGCACTGAATTGAATCGGCCAGGGAGGCATAGTCCGGAAAATTGGTGGTAACTCGCTGACAAGTTTGTCGTGGTTTAGCTTTCCTGCACTGAGCGCGGTTGTTTGCGCATGTGCAGTCACCTAAGTGTCAGTAAAACATTACTGAGTAAAACACAGATGTCATTTGACTGTGGTGCCATGTCCATGTGCCATGCCTGGTTTTTTTAAATCCAAATATTTCCCCTCCACAGTTTATAAAATAATTTGCATCCACACATCTGCGTTATCAATCACATTCGTAACATTCCAAACATGTGCGTCTCTTACGTCCTGTCCTGCGTTGGGGAAAAACACGGAAGTGGGCGGAGCTTTGATGCAGACGCCGGTAACGGCACTTTTACAGTCATAGAAGACACTCAGAGTAAAGACGTATGTTTACAAGCACTGATCCCGTCCTCAGCCCTGGTTTAGTCCTGGTTTAGTCCTGGTTTAGTCCTGGTTTGGTTGTTTTCGAGCGTGAGTCCCCGCGATCACTTTGCTGCTCTCTGACGTGGAGCGCTGTTGCGAGCATCTCACAGCGAACAGTTTTTAAGGTAGTATGATCCATGCTTCAGTGATCAGAGGAATTTAGGGGGGTACTGTGGCGTGCGAGAACGCAAAACTCCGGTTATCTCTGTCTACACACAAATGCATTAACGGAGTTTTCAAAAATCTCCACTTTGCCCGGAGTTTTTTGCATATATTCGTTTAGAATGTGTAATTTTTTATTTATTTAATACGATCTACCAATACTACCTTTGCGATCGACTGGTAGATCGCGATCGACGTATTGAGCACCCCTGCTGTACACTATGCCAGCCACTTGGTTATGGCGTTCCATGTAGGCGTTCCATGTAGGCCTTCCCTGCCAGCATCTTGCACCCTGCAGTTATGTGTTGGATCGTCTCAGGTGCCTCTTTGCACCACCGACACCTTGGGTCTTGTCTGGTGTGGTATATCTGGGCCTCTATCGCTCTGGTGCTCAGTGCCTGTTCCTGTGCAGCCATGATGAGTGCCTCTGTGCTGTCCTGTAGCTCCGGTGGTACATGCCGTGTAGGGGCATATCACAACACACAACCACACAACACCAACATCCAGTGTGGGTCCTTGGGCAAGACCCTTAATGCTACTGCCTAACTCATAACCATGAAGGTACAAATAAGCAATGAGATGCCGGATCAGACGTCGCCCGGCCAAACAAGGTCTGCGTCAGGTGCTGGGGAACCAGAGCACCTTGATGAAAAGTGGGCTACTGGAACAAGGCGAAAGTGGGCGAGATCCGATAACAGGGCTCTGTTGGAATGCTACTACTCAAGTAACCCTGGCCAAAGAGGTTACATGCAGAGAATGTGGGCTGAATGGTTACTTCGAAACCCACAGTCACAGTTGACCCCGAAACAACTGGTAGCTCAATGCTCCAACATCCACAAACGGCAACTGCTATCACAGCTTGAGATTGATGAGGTACAACACATGTATGATGCCACAGTTGCCGAGGTCAGAGGGGAGATCCCACCAACTGCAACTCCTCAACCAGATATTGGGTACATAGCCCCAATGGAACCGATAACGCTGAACGAGGCAGCGACTGACCTGAAAGCTAAGATCATGGCTAGAATGGGCACAGGGCAAAGACACCGGCTACAGCGGTTGTGTGAAGTACCACCTAAGGATCTCATAGAAAGCGTGAATGCAGCAGTGAGGGCAATACCTACCACCACAATCACTGAAACCAATGAGCTGATATACACTTCAGCAGCAGTGATCCTAGAGATGCTTGGCTATAAGAGCAACCATGGGAGCCATGGACAATACCCACCATGGAAAAGACGGTTGGAGGCTAAGATCAAGGCGGCTCGGAGAGAAGTGAGTCGATTAACAGAGGCCCAGAGAGGTGCAATGAAAAGACCTGTACCCAGAAAGTACAGCCAGATGACCATACTTGAAGCACTCAAAACTGCCAAACAAAGGCTCCAAGCCCTGGCCAGCTGCCTACAGAGGTACACTAAAGAGAATGAAGCCAGAAGGGTGAACAGGCTGTTCGCAACACAACCTGCGAAGGTGTACGCTCAGTGGCAGGGTAACAACAGGGGAGCAGACCCACCGAGGCTGGAAACTGAACAGTTCTGGAAGAACATATGGGAGAAGGATGCAGCACATAACAGAAGTGCACAATGGCTGGTGTCCCTGAGAGAGGAGCACAGCCACCTCCCAGAACAGAATTCAGTTACCATCACAGAGGCAGACATCCGAGAAAGAGTCTCAGGTATGAAAAACTGGACAGCACCTGGCCCTGATATGGTCCATGCCTACTGGCTAAGGACACTCACATCACTCCATGAGCGCCTAGCAGCCCAAATGAACCAGCTGCTGAGAGATGGGATTCACCCAGAATGGCTAACCGAAGGGCGAACGGTCCTGATCATGAAGGACCCTGTCAAGGGTGCAGTCCCCTCCAACTACCGGCCAATAACCTGTCTCTCCACAACATGGAAGCTCATGTCAGGCATCATTGCGGCTAAGATAAGTGGGCATATGGAACAATTCATGAGCACAGCACAGAAGGGCATTGGTAGGGACACCAGAGGAGCCAAACACCAGCTCCTGGTTGACAGAACAGTCGCCCAAGACTGCCGTTCACGACACACCAACCTGTGCACAGCCTGGATTGATTACCAGAAAGCCTACGACTCAATGCCACAAACATGGATCATGGAATGCTTGAAGTTGTACAATATCAACAGGGCTCTAAGGGACTTCGTTGCAAACTCGATGGGAATGTGGAAGACCACCCTTGAGGCAAATGGCAAGCCGCTCGCACAAGTGACCATCACATATGGTATCTACCAAGGAGATGCTCTGTCCCCACTACTGTTCTGCATAGGCCTCAACCCTCTAAGCCAAGTAATTGACCAGACTGGCTATGGATACCGCCTCAGGAACGGAGCAAAGATCAGTCACCTCCTCTACATGGATGACATAAAGCTGTACGCCAAGAGCGAGAGAGACATCGACTCTCTGATCCAAACAATCAGGATCTACAGCCATGACATCGGGATGTCATTCGGACTCGAGAAATGTAGCAGGATGGTGACTCGGAGAGGCAAGGTAGTCCACACAGAAGGGATCTCACTCCCAGAGGGAACAATAGCAGACGTTGAGGACAATTACAAGTATCTCGGTATACCACAGGCAAATGGCAACCTCGAACAGGTGACGAGGAAAGCGACAACTGCCAAATACCTCCTGCGAGTAAGGCAGGTCCTAAGAAGCCGGCTCAATGGCAAGAACAAGGCCCGGGCAATTAACAGCTACGCCCTGCCAGTGATCAGATACCTTGCAGGAATAATCAGGTGGCCAAAGGAAGAGATTCAGACCACGGATGTTAAAACTCGAAAGCTCCTTACCATGCATGGCGGGTTCCATCCCAAATCCAGCACCCTGAGACTGTACGTAAGCCGTAAAGAAGGAGGCCGAGGACTAGTGAGTGTGAGAGCTACTGTCAAGGACGAAACATCCAAACTCCATAACTACATCATGGAGAAGGCCAAAACGGATGACGAGATGAGGAGGTGCTGGAGGAGAGCCCATCATGGGAGAACAAGCCCCTACACGGCATGTACCACCGGAGCATAACAGAAGTGGCTGATCTCAAGAAGTCCTACCAATGGCTAGAAAGGGCTGGCCATTGGCACTCATCATGGCTGCCCAGGAACAGGCACTGAGCACCAGAGCGATAGAGGCCCAGATATACCACACCAGACAAGACCCAAGGTGTCGGTGGTGCAAAGAGGCACCTGAGACGATCCAACACATAACTGCAGGGTGCAAGATGCTGGCAGGGAAGGCCTACATGGAACGCCATAACCAAGTGGCTGGCATAGTGTACAGAAACATCTGTGCAGAGTATGGGCTGGAAACTCCATGGTCTAAGTGGGAAACTCCTCCAAAGGTGGTGGAGAATGAGCGTGCGAAGATCCTGTGGGACTTCCAGATACAGACCGACCGAATGGTAATGGCAAACCAACCTGACATTGTGGTGGTAGACAAAGGGCAGAGGACAGCCGTGGTGGTGGACGTGGCAATTCCAAGCGATGGTAACATCCGGAAAAAAGAACATGAAAAGCTTGAGAAATACTGTACCAAGGTCCAGTGGCGGCTGGTGGAATTTTCTACTGGGGGGGCTATGAATATGATGACTAGATATATACCAACAGTAAGTAAGTTTACACTGACTGTTGTGACTGAAGCCTCACACGAGAATGAAATATTTATCTTCCCAAACATAGCTAATTTGAGGGCATTTTGCATGTGGATACCAGTCTGCTCATGCTTCTTTGCCTTTTCTAAAAAGTGCTTCAGATCAGTCATACCTGTCTTGATCCATGCTGGGTCAGATCCTGATGTTTGAAACAAGAGGCATGGAAAGCAAAATAAAGCATTAGCCTTGTGCCGCTTTGTGACTTTGGTCTGTGAAAGGCGGTATATAAATAAAGCTTACTTACTTACTTACTTACTTACTATTAGCCTCGCTACATGCTGCTAGCCAAGATTTGGCGCTGAACCAGGTCCTGGAAAAAGTACGAGTGTACCGTCTCCCCCTGTCGCTGGACTGCTGACTAATGGTAATATTTGGCTGATCAGGTCCAAGCTCTTTAACCTCAACCTTCTCCTGGTATGATCTTCTCTCAAACGGTATTGTTTTGAGTGATCTAACTGAATTATTCTTTTTCTCGTTCTCCATTTTGCGTCTCTTTACGTTCGTCAAACTCCCACAGCTTGACCTGTCAATCACTGTAAACGGACGTCACAGACAGTGACAGTACAGGTCGCGGGCGATCCCGCCCCCTCAGGGCGCACTTCTCCTGCGCCCCCAAATCGTCTTATCTCTTGCATTGAAGAGGAGCTACTGCGCATGTACAACTTTTAACGAGAGTCCATAGACGGCTCAGGGCGCAATCTTTTGCGCCCTGAGGCGGAAATACGTCCTCAGTCCGACACAGACAACGCTGATGAGCTTAATCAATCCAACTCAGCATAAACTATAAAGTATTTCTTCCACATCTGAAATAAAACACACATACATTTCGAAATATTTTAATGTTATTCTTTTTTTTAACGTTTTATTCAAGGTAACATGGCAAGTTGTGAGTGGTGGGGCGGCGCCCTAGCGCCCTCTATTGGCCGGCCGCCACTGCCAAGGTCTCAGAGAGGAGCTGGAGAGGGCCTGGAGGGTAAAGGTGACAGTAGTGCCCGTGGTGATCGGTGCACTCGGGGCAGTGACCCCGAAGCTAGATCAGTGGTTACAGCGGATCCCCGGAACAACCTCGGACATCTCGGTCCAGAAATGTGCAGTGCTAGGAACAGCAAAGATACTGCGCAGAACCCTCAAGCTCCCAGGCCTCTGGTAGAGGACCCGAGCTTAGAGAGGGATAACCGCCCGCAGAGGGCCAAAGGTGAGTGGACAATTGTATTATTTATATATATACATATATATATATATATATATATATATATATATATATATATATATATACATATATATATATATATATACACATATATACACATATATATACACATATATATACACATATATACACACATATAGGGCGACAGTGGCTCAGTTGGTAGAGCAACAACATATAATGTATATAATGTATATATGTATATAATGTATATTAACTATGTTTAACGAATTTTTTGTTTACAGTTTCAATATAGGATAAATACGTTTTCAGATCAGAACAATTAAATGAATAACGTGATTTGATTTTACAAGTATTTCCATCCTTGTCGGATTCCGTAGTGACGTAGTACCCAAACAAGAAGCTGCTGGTTGATGATTAGTTAGCAGTTAGCAAAGCTGTACCATAACATTACATGATCAGACTTTAAAATGTCTCAAGATCCGTGGTGAGTATCGGGTGGGTGCATTTTAGAAAGTAACACTGAAATAACAATGATGACTTTAACTATTACAATTATTTGCATTTGGAATAGATTCCAAGTGCAGCTAGCAGCAACCTACATCAACATTATTATCAAGGGGATAATGTTTCACTGATTTCTATGTTGTGGAGCCCAATGTCATGTTAATCTGCATCAGTGTGGTTCACGTTACTTCATGTTACGTTACTCAGAAGGACAACACTGTAATGTCTCCAATGTCCAACCTTTGTGTCCATTCCACCAGGTTACAGAATCATGAGGCTAATTGTCGCCTGGCCCAAGAAATAGCTGAAAACATCCATGAGCGAAACAGACAACAGAAAACGGGGGGTAACCCTGCCAAAGTAAGTTATGAGGTCTATACACTCTGTATTTGTAAATGTAAGCTATTTGTTCGTAACAGTTGTCCTGTGTGTATTACTTCGTGCCATCAGATCAATATGACTCTTCGAGCATCTCTACAGAAATTAAAGCAGAATATTTCTCAGCTGAAAGAAGGTTTGTTGCGGTCTTCCTCGTCACGTCGCATGTATCCTTTGTGAAATGGTCACGGGACCCCTAATATTCTGCACTAACTATATCATACCGGAAGAGGGCGCCAGAGGACTTTGCGTGAATATAATTGATTCATTGAGAAACGTTCTGCTTTAACATTGATCCGTCAGAACTCAAGCAGAAGCAGACAGAAGGCAAAATCTCATCGATGACCTCCTAAGCAGAGAGAAACAACTCAATGCAACTTTCAAAGGAGAAGCTTCAGGAACCGAAGCCCACAGGTTAGTGTTTACAGCCTGATCCTAGTCTTTTAATGACTAGTAAGCGTAATTATGTCATCTCAAATAAGTAAGTTTTGTCAATTTAGTAAAGATTATAACAATTTAGCAGCATTGTAATGATAATAATGATTAGAGTTTATAGCCTAAATAAATTGCTCCGGAGGCATACAAATTCACAGCGTCTGGGGCTCACCAGCAGTCGGCATCTTCACAAAACAGACTCACACAGCATTTTCCTGTTGTTTCCATGAAAATGTTTCTGGAAATGTTCCATCTCCAGAAATATACAATTTAAATCAGCTTTGTAGAGTAAATGTCTTTACTAAATGCTACACTCACGATTACATCATGTTAGGAGCAGTTTTCTTCCCTTTAAAACAAAAGTTTTGCCTTTTAAACTTAAAGGGCGCCACAGTGACTGAGTGATTATTACTCTCGTTTCTCAGCAAGAAGGTCATGGGTTTGAATCCCAGGCCTTGCTGAGTGAAGTTTGCATGTTCTCCCCGTGTATGAAGGTTTCCCTACAGTAGGTTAAATCCTCCAGCATCAACATCTGGAGATGGACCCCTGGGCGCTGTACTACAGCGACCACTGCTCCTGACAATGATTCATGTTGAAAGAGAATAGATAGTATTTTTCGTAACTATTATAGAAAGAGCAAAACTACTTCTAGTTCCTGTTAAAAAAAGGATTGTTTTTGACTAATTAAAATAATGATTCCTTACTCACTTGACCCATGAGGTAGAGAAATATTCACTTTGATGGTGCGTCACCGGTCACTAACTGTGTGTACCTCTGGGGCGACCTGTGCCATTTGACTCACCCCTGCTCTGTGATTCGTGAAGAATCGCCTCGGTCAGACATTTGGACGAGCTGCTTGGTCTTTGTGACCTTCTCCTTTTCATTAGAGTATTCTTCGGCTTTGCTCTGTTGATCAAACATGGGGCCGCTTTTGTGCACATGTATGCATTTGTACAATTATACACGGAGGGAATTAACTGTAGCTGTGTCACTCCTTATATCCTCTTCTTTATTTGATGTCATGACACTGTAACATACACAGGCCTGTAGTCAACATACACTAGTCATGTTTTCAACTGGTAATGATTTCTGACAGAGGAAGGAACTTTTGCACTTCTGGTCCTAAATCTACCCAAGGTTTTAGTTTACTTCTCAGTTCATCTAATTGCAAAAGTATTGATGTGGGTAAAGTTATCTTTCTAATTGAAAATAAATTCTTCCTAAACAGTCAAATAATTTACCATGTGGCGAATTGTGTGACTGTTTGACTAGTTTTGCAATGCAGCAATAGTGTTGGTCGAAAATACAGACTGCTGTTATTATTAACTGTTAATTTTCTCCTATTTTCTTGGAAGGGTTTGGAAATAGTCATAATTAGTTAGGTCTTGCCTGTCCAAGTCGCTCAGTGCAGACAGGGATGCCCAGGCCCCAGAGGTGCTGGCCTAGTGCTTTGAGGCGGCCAAGAGATGTGCCTGACTGGTTTCTGCAGCCTCCTCTGACTGGTTAATTGGATCTTCACACACTGGACTCTGGGGCAAAGGAAGTTGAGAGCTGGCATGCACTCTCATGGTAATCAAACGTGTCAGAGGGATTAGAGCTCGTCTCACCCATCCTCAAGCTGAGAACTGCAACATTGTCATAACTCCCACACATCCTCTGTGACTAAGGAAAACGTTTACTAAACACTGATTTAAAACATTACTATTTATTTTTTTCAAAGCAGCACATTAAATAGGCCTTAACTGAAAAAGGTGTCAAACTACACCAGTGTTGGAATCTATCAACCTGTCAACATTTTTTAATATGTTATCAACCGTATGTTATTTTAATTATTCTTAAACTGAATTTCCCTCCCTCAGATCCTCGCTCATGACAGGGGGAACAAGTGCAGCTGCCAATCCTTGGTTGATAAATGAAACTGAGGAGTCCAAAGGCCTGTCTTTTGGGGATTTAAAGCAGCAGCAACGACAAATCATCGATGGTACTCTCTTCTTTTTTTATTTTTGGGTCTTGTATTCTACTTCTTATAAATTATTTGCATGGTCTTTTTACACTGGGTTCCATTCTTATCTTGACAGATTATAGCTTGTGAACCCCCAAAGTTGATAATGTATACACTGTAAGGCAACGACTAACTTTATTTCCTTTTTTATCCGAAACAGTGATTGAACTTGAGTAGATATTCTCCTTTTACAAACATTAGGATTATCCTGCAACATGTCACTCCACCTGCATCCTTGTGGCACTTCTCTACTGTGTCTCCGTCATATATCTGGTTATTTTCAGTTTAACATCAGAATACTTTTAAGAAGGGCTAACCACATTGAGGTTTTCAGTATCCTCTGGGATTTCTTGTGTAGTTGGGTAATGGCGAGTGTCTAAAGCTGTGGTCATGGACAGAAATTCCTGTGGTACTGAGTGTGTCAAATTTGGAGACCTTGATTTTCCCTCTCTGTGCCTATGTCCTAATACCAAAAGCCTCTACTACTCTTTGGACAAAATACTACATTATTCCATCAGACATTGGATGCCTCATTTCACTCTACCAGCACAATGTAATAGCTCTATTTTTACACTTGGAATGTGTGTATTGTTTTTCTTACATCTTGCCAAGCTTCAGAACCCACTATCCAAATATGTGCATAATTTGCCGATCGTATACATTTTGGTTTCCTTCAAATATTGCAACATTTGTTAAAAGTTTGTCATATGTCTTGATTATTTTCTCTCCTCTTTGTAGCTCAAGATGCTGGTTTGGAGGCCTTGGCAGCGGTCATTAGCCGACAGAAGATAATGGGCCAAGAGATTGGCAATGAGCTGGATGAGCAAAACGGTAATGTATTGTCCACTTCACAGATGTGCGTCCAAAGAATACCAGACACATGACAGACTGCAGTGTCAAAGCAATCAAGCGTACAGAGCTCGGCAATGGAAGGACTTGCCTCATGTAATTTGTTGGACTGTAATACTCACTCTGACCACAGACACTGAAACACTGTATAACTAACACCAATGCTCGTGTAACCGGAGTCTGCGCCTTTAAAGACATTTGTTGAAAATAGAATTATATCCAGTGCAGGATAATCTTCAGCTCGAAATTCCTCAATATTTGATCATTTTTGTAGAATAGTATAAATAGTCACATTATATGGTATAGCACTTTATAGTTATTTAGCAAATGGTGATGATGTAAGTCCATGATAAAATGGTCTTAGATTCCAAAAATAATCTCATTATTATGGTTTTAGATTCATCTTTTTTTGCTAATATCTTCTCTGAGTTTGTTGCTGGAGGGAGTTTGTTACTGTGCCATAAAAAAAATGTATAGACACATTTTACATGGATCCAGGATATTTTTCAAAGGAATGGATCTGTGCCTCTTGGCGGAGGTTTGTTTTCTACGAGTGCATTGCCTAAGCTTCCATGCATCAGCAGTTTAAGTTATCTCAAATCTCTAGGGAGCAGATTTGAATCATTATAGGCCTGTTGCTAGGACTGTTTTATTTGTGTGAATTCATTTGAGCAGGTTTGGATAACTGTTTCCATGCTTTCAGTAAATATTTTCAGCTTTGCGACACCCAAAGCACTCAAGTTGTTAATATAGTTTCAGTTTCTCTCTGCTTGTTGCTACAGCATTTGGGCTCTTAAAGCCCAAATACATAAGTGTTTATATCAAGTTAAGCGATATAACATGTGTCACCCAACCGCAGTATGTTGTCCACTGCCTGATAGTATTTTTGAATATATTACAGTTTTCAGAAGCAGTATTTTGTAATTCTAACTGAGAACCGACTGTCTTTTTTCCCCCTAGTCACTGTTCTGTAGCCGTATTTTCCTATAAATAGATTAAGCTCATTGTAGTGTGCCTCATGACCCAAGTGCAGTGAAGGTTGCAGTCATTTCCTTTTGCGGCAAAACAATTCCGGCTGAGGTCACCGGAAGAAGATGACCCTGTTCAAAGATGTAGGCATGAACCCAAAGCCCTGGTGGACTAGGTGAATCAAAACAACTATTCTTGATTTTAAAACACAAAGTTACAGAAACAACAGCAGTTAATTTTGGTGCATGCATTTCAAATGTAAAAGTCCAGTTCCGAGCTTTTGTATTAGTGAGTGTGTTTTTTGTCTATGGGGAGGAGAGCACAACAGAGCCACGGATAGAGCCTGTCTGTCAGTCTGGATCTCCAGGAGAGCTGCTTGTGGAGCAGGTGATGCTCGGTGCTCAGTCTGAAGTAGACCTGTACCCGCTCGTGAAACAGCAATAATATGTTCTCAACAAGTGGTGTATATTATTTTTGTCCTTCTCTAAATTTGGCATAACAATTTATTGTTGTCACATTCCAAATTAAATGGTCTGTAGCAGTCTAACCAACTTCCCACAGTGAAAAATGAAACATTGATTTATTTTTAACGACATTTCTTTTACACCACATTAATTAATAAATTGTGTGTGCAATCGCTCTTGCACTTTTCTGGACGTTCAAAGAGGAGAGACAAACATATTTACAATAATTATGGGAATGCTTTGACCAGACGGGTTTTGCGATTACGGCTTCTTTTTCTTTACTTTACTAATAAAATGTTGGTAATAGAATGGGTTGATTGGTTCCACTCATATTGACATTTTATTTTCCCTTAATGGAAGGAAAAACTGATGAGGCAACAGTGGCTCAGTTGGTAGAGCACTGGCCTGTGGGCCTGAAGGTTGTGGGTTAGAGCCCACCTTGAGACCTAATTCACGACTCCCACTAATGACTGCTGTTGTTGTGTCCTTGGGCAAGACACTTAAAGGAATAGGCCACCGTTTTTACATACTGACATACAGTATGTTCTTACCTTACCTTAGACTAGTTCAGTGTTTTTCAACCTTTTTTGAGCCAAGGCACACTTTTTTCACTGAAAAAATCTTGCGGCACACCTCCAGGAGAAAATGTAAAAATGTATACAGTACTAATGTAAAAAAATATATACTGTACATACTCTGTGTGATATATAAAGTATATCTTATCTTATAATGTATACAGTATACTCTGTAGCCTATATTCACAATATACAGTTATTCTCATCAAAATGCTTAAGTCCAGGCCTTGAAATTAAGCTTTATTTAATATTTCTCGATACAATTAACAAGAGTTTGGGAATAAAGTGGCACTAACTGTGTGGAAAAAAACTAAGAAAATCCACTCTCTGCCCAAATAGTCAAATAATAACTCACACAAAGAACATGCATTGTTAGTGCATGGGAAACATTTTGGTATCCGAGCTTTAAATTCAGGAGTTTTGAATGAGGGACACGGGAGGTCCTGAACGCGAGTCCATGGTTCTGTCCGGTCCGCATGTCTGTGGTTCTGTCCACTCGACTACGGTCTGCGCTCGGTACCCAGTTCAGAAGTGCGTTCGCGAGAGCTGTTGTACAAAAATTGTACATTTCATAGTTAAACCACTACAACGCGGCCACAGCTACCCCGGGGCAGAGCGGAGGATGTTAATCCTGTTCAGAAACGGCATAATTCATTTTCAAAAAAAACGTCACTTTCACTATCACTTTCACTTCTCACTCGCCACAAAGCTCTTGTCTCGCTCCCTCACACATTTGTTGGTCGCATCCAATTTTACCTTTCTCGCCACAATGCTGACCTGTTACAGCCAGTGGTCGCATCCAATTTTTCAGTTTCAAAGTACTTAGCTATCTGCTGCCATCTACTGATTTGAAAAAGTATTACATGGTTACTCACAGTTCAAAACAAGTCACCGCTCGTCAACAGCGAATGCAGCTATTTTTAGACAAAGTAGACGAATTTCTCACGGCACACCAGACAATATCATACGGCACACTAGTGTGCCGCGGCACAGTGGTTGAAAAACACTGGACTAGTTGATATGTACCTGTCTGGTCTTTGTCCGTGCGCTCTGTCATGCAAACGGAGCACAAACGCAGCCTCTTCCACATACTGTATAGTAACAAATCAGCTCCCGTTAGAAGCTACCAAACTCTTCCACGTGTTTCCTATTTAAATACAGTTACATGACGTGTTACACTACAAAGTATAGTAACACAGAAATGTAACATGTCGATTTTCTCAGCGGATAAAAAGGGGTACTATATTGAGGCGTAATAATACGAGGAGCACTACGTCCGCGCACTAACTCCCAAGACTTCTCTCCCGCTCACTTTCGTTAATAGAAGCAGCATGAGCGGGAGAGAAGTCTATGGGAGTTAGTGCGCATGTTACATTTCTGTGTTACTATACTTTGTAGTGTAACACTTTACATAACTGTATTTAAATAGGGAAAACGTGGAAGAGTTTGGTAGCTTCTAACGGGAGCTGATTTGTTACTATACATTCTGTGGAAGAGGCTGCGTTTTTGCTCCGTTTGCATGACAGAGCGCACGGACAAAGACCAGACAGGTACATATCAACTAGTCTAAGGTAAGGTAAGAACTGTCAGAAGAAGAAGAAATGTCAGTATGTAAAAACACTGGCCTATTCCTTTAACCCCACTTTGCCTGAAGCCCACACTGAAAGATCAAGGCTCCTGTGGACTCTCCACCTGCAGGAGGATCAGTGATGTTGATAGTGACTGGTGCTAAGTGTAAATATTGGCATTCAAACAGTTGTAGCTGGGAATGCGCACCCAAATCTCAGATAGTTTGTTGTTTATTGTGCTCTCAAGGTCCAAAGTATTAAATGAGAACAAGGTATTTTTAACATGCATCTTTAAAATATGTATGTTTTGAGTGAAATATTGTTTGTATTTATTGTCTTTTACTTAAATATCAGTTTGTCGCTGTCAGAGTTGTTCAGGTGGGACTTGGAAACTTAACATGATTCACATGATTTTGAGCAATATAAAAAAAAGAACCACTTGATTTAATTTCATGAATCGTTTCAGATCTACACTGACTACACACACGTTATACTTCTTTTCAAGAAATGTCAAACCCAGCAACAAGGGTTTGCTAGTGTCAAATTCAATGCTGTAAACTTCAAACTATTGTCTCAAAAAATGTGAGAAATCAACCATGCTGTGGTGCATTAGCGGCTCCATCGTCTGCAGATATGGATCACTACCAGATGTGATGTAAAATACGTTTGCAGCCATCTATTTGATTTCAAAACCCACCACACATTATCACACAATTGGACTCAGTCACACACTAACTGTAAACTAGTCATGAAATCATGTTGGAAGGATTAGTGTGACTTTATTCTTTTTTTATTTTTAACCATTTTTGTATTATTTTTAACCATCTTTTTAAATGCCCTGAGATTTGAGAAGGTTAGAAGCAGAAGTTCTAAAGCAAAACAAATGTATTGTTCCATTACTACTGCAATCCTCCCAAATTGGCAGTTGTCCTTGTGGTCAGGACCGGTCTAGTCCAGGCCAGGCTCGAGAATGTGTCGATTGTATTGTTTGTATCCTCAAGCCTTACCTCACTGGACAACCTGTTGATTTACTTTTCTTAGGCGACATACCTTGTGGAGTATGTGCACAATTTAACTGCAAACTGATGTTGATATTGAGCGATGATTTGCCCCTGGAGAGCTCTTTAGAGTAGACTGTCTAAGCACATGAGCCGTAGATGTTGGTGGTATTAGTGGTTGGGACTCTCTTTACCTTCAGCTGCCAGTTTTCTCTGGCTCTGGCCTCAGGATTCCCTGCCATTTAACAGTTCTTCAGCCTGACTTGGGCCAGCAGGTTCCCTTTTGGATGAAACCGGTGACAGTGAGAACAAATCTCCCCCTGTGTTTACCTAATTGCTAACCGCGTTGGTGTGGTGGTTGTGTTCAAAGGGCCGACATCTCAGCACTGCTTCATGGACTTGTTGGCC